AGCTTCTGGGGTGAGATCCAGGGCTGCTGGCCCTGAGCACCTCCGCAGCTCAGGCTCAGGGTCTGGTGGACAGTCTGTGTCAGGACTCACACTGACATCTCTCCCAGTGTCTCTTGCACAGTAATCCATGGCTGGGTCCTGGTAGTCACTGTGCTCAGCTCATGGACATCTGGGTCTTGGCTGTGTCCTCAGACACTGTGACTAAACTCCTGAGAGACGGCTGCAGTTGAAGATGTCTCCTGTCCTTCCCAGCAGCTTCTCTGGGGCTGTGGGACCCGGCTCCATCAGTCATGACAGCCAGTACCACCTACATGGTGCAGGCAGGGGACAGAGACCACGGGGTCTTGGCCAGGCCAGGCTGTGACTCCTGCAGCTGCTGGGACAGGACATCTGAGGACAGAGAACCTCAGTGCCAGGGGATGGGGGGACAGGGTGTGTTCTGAGTTCAGATGCAGCGTCCTCACAACATCCTGACCGCATCCCGATGTCCTACACCCAGGAACAGCCAGCAAGGAATCAAAGGCCCGCCCGGCATTCCAGGCATCAGGAAGATGTCTATGACTCACAGGAAGTATTTCCAGGGTCTGGCATAGGCTGAGTGTAAACAAGTGAGTATGAGCCCAGTGTTGCTGGCTCATGCCTGCAAACCCAGGCACTCAGGAGCCTGAGATCTGAGGATGGTGGTTCAAAGCCAGCCCTGGCAGGAAAGTCCCTGAAACTCTTATCTCCAACAAACCACCAGAAAACCGGAACTGTCGCCGTGGCTCAAGTAGTAGAGTGCTCCACTTGAGCTGAAGAGCTTAAGGACAGCGCCTAGGCCCAGAGTTACAGCCCAAGGTCCTACCAAAAAAAAAAAAAAGTGAGCAGCGAGTGTCTGCTCTTCCTCTAGGAAGACGAAGGACAGCGTGGGGAAGGCCAGATGGACTCTGCTCAGGATCTCAGCAGATGGAGAGAAACCAATGGAATTGGAGAGCAATGACCTCATCCAGCCTGGGAGCCCTTAACACCCCAGACAGCTCTGTGGGGGACGCTGCGTCCTGTGGAGAGGCCAGGCACACAGAGGAGTCAGGGCCTGAGCTCCACAGCTGCTCCTGTGACTGCCATGACCTCAGTGTGTGCCCAGCGCCCCCTGCTGGTGCTGACTGAGCATGACCTCAGTGGTGTGCCCAGCGCCCCCTGCTGGTGCTGAGCGCCCTGCAGGGAGGTTTGTGTCTGGCCCACACTGGATTTCCTGCACTGTGTCTCTAGCACAGTAATAGACTGCCGTGTCCTCCACTCTCAAGCTGTTCATCTGCAGGTAAAGTGTGCTCTTGCTGTTGTCTCTAGAGATGGTGAAGCGGCCCTTCACAGAGTCTGCGTAGTATGTGCTACTACTACCATAGATGGATGAGAGCCACTCCAGCCCCTTCCCTGGAGCCTGGCGGATCCAGCTCATGTCATATCTACTGAAGGTGAATCCGGAGGCAGCACAGGAGAGTTTCAGGGACCCCCCAGGCTGCACCAAGCCTCCCCCAGACTCCACCAGCTGCACCTCACACTGCACACCTGCAAACACAGAGAATCCTGGTCAGCAATGGTCACACACATCCACTGTTCCTCCCACCCATGTCCATTTGCACACTCAGTATCCCTTGCTCCCCATGAATCACCTTTCAACAGAGCAACAAGGAGAACCCAGTGCAGCCCCAGCTCCATGGTGGTGGTCTGTGCTCAGTCACTGGTGGAATCAGCTCACAGAGCTCAGGTCAGGGATCGCTGGTTTTCATGGGCAGAGGGACGTCCGATTTGCATGTCCTCTGCTATAAAGCAGCTCTGGGGGGAAGTCTAGAGATTGGGCTCCCAGAGCAGAGGTGACTGTGCTGGAGGAGTTTGGTGACAATGGTCCCCTTTGAGACATCATGACGCACTGACCATGTGCTATGGTTCACACTGTACCTGCAGCTCATTGGGAGCCTGAGGCAGAGTGTGAGAACATTGAGAGCTGTCTGGGGTGCAGAGGGACACACGTGTCCTCTCACTCTGCTATAGTTCTTGTACATCTAATTGTTGCAACGTGTTCATCTGGATCCCTATTTAAACAATATTTTTCCCTTCCCCTCCACATATTAAATCAACATCAAATACAGTGAAAGCAGGGATTATACTGTGGGGGAGGGACATACAAAGCAACAAAGAAATAATCTTATAAATATGTTAGAAACAATCAAAACAAAAAAATTTGAATCCTTATCTTGGAGTTCATTTCGCCTAGCATCAACTTCTCTGACAGTTTCTCTTTGTCTTAGACATATGCTAGTTATTGGAAATAAGACATAATGTGATACTGGTGTTGCTATTGTTGATTTATTTCCTTTAATCTAACTCTCTTTAGATCTATCACAAATGACAGTCTCTCTCCCAGTCTGTGGGTTAGTTCTATTCCATTGTCCACACCTTTCCCATTTCCTTTATCTGTTCTTCTCTTGTTGGACCTTTACTTTATCTCAGCCCTCCTCTGCCACGTTCTCCCTAGGATGACCTGTGCTCCATGCTCCATCTGCCCTGTCCCTAAGTTCTATCTGAGAAACATCAGAATGGCCTTTGCCATGCATCTTGCCAAGTTCCTATTCAGAACACGTAGCTATGAGCAGCTCAGCTCACAACAATATTTGGGCAGTGATGATCAGGATATATAAAATTTTCCCACAGAATTATGGTGCAGATAAAACATTCCTATTTTTAGTGACCTTGTAGTTGTTGTAATATCATAGCATCACACACCTTGGCATGTTCATGTAGATGATGGTAGCTAGCCTAGGCTGCTGCTAGTTGCCTAAAATCTAGTAATACATTGATGTACAGTTTACATTTGATATGATAGTAAATGTGTTTCCTTATATTCTGAAATTCTGTATATCCTGAAACACTTTATGTTTCATTATCTCTCAATGTTTCTGGGAGATTTCTTGGCAGCATTTTCCATTAGGCTTGGGTAGAGTTTTGTTTTTCATCCCTAGCCTTCCTCAGATCTGATCTTGGAGATCATGGCAAAGTCAGTTTCCCCAATGTGTTTTTCTCCCTGCTTTGTTGAAGTGAAGTCTCCCTATGTTTAAGTAAACCTGACAGTGGAAAGCAGAACATCTGATGCAGACAGTCAAGGATGACTACAGACACAGACATGGAGAAGTCCCTGGGAGGCTGTCAGGGGATGAGCAGAAGTAGGGCAGGCACAGAGGAGAGCTGGGGCAGGAAGAGCAGAGGCAGGGCCAATGCATTTGTTTACCAATTATTTTAGTTATTATTATAAAGGATGCATGGCAACAGGTACTGGTTATTATTCAATATGTACATACATTGTTAAATGACTAACATCTAAATAGACACTTTCCTTTCTTCATCTTTTTACAATGATTAGTGTTGTGCTACGAGATACCAGCTCCTCCTGATGAGGAGTTTTCACATCCAAATGAGGACCCAAGACACCACAGTCTCCACATGGACAGAGTAATTAATGGATGTCTCCTGGTGAGATGAATGATTTGTCTCATCATCCACAAAAACTGTCCAGGGTAGAACCTCAGAACTTGGAAGTCTTCTTCCTAAAGCCTGTAGAGTGCACACACATGTTCTTGTTCAGGAAGTGAAGCTTGCTTTTTTCTGATCAGGATGTAATGGAGAAATAAACAAGGACCTGTTTGAGCAGGTGGGGGTGTCCGGGATGCAGGGAGCTCAGTCAGATTGCTGTGAGATCACCTGGCCCCAGCCCCTCCTGCCCACGATGCGCGTGCACAGCGACAGTGCTCATGACGGAGCCACAGGGACCTGGCCTCCATCCCAGACGGGACATCCACAGGACTCCAGAGCCATCATGATGGAGGAAACCCCAGGACAGACGGGGCCCAGCAAGGTCAGTCTACATGCACATGGCCTGTTGTCTGTCCAGTCCAACCCAGACTCTTCGTGTCCACTTCCATGTCCCATGGAGGACAGCAAGAGGCCCTGGTCAGGGGACACTGAGGAGTCCACCAGCGTTTCCCAGGGTGCCGTGGGCTGAGCTCCAGGGGTATGGCTGACTCTGTGTTTTATGACTTGGGTCCCCAAGTACGTTTGGAGGTTGGGCAAAGAAAAAAGCAGGCTGAGAGTATGAGGGTCACTGAGGAGGAAAATGAATTAATGGAAGAATTCTGAAGCCCCATGACAAGTGCTACAGCTGAGGGAGAAAGGAAGGATTTGAGGCCTATTAAGAGTCCTGAGTTAGTGAGCTGTGCTGTTTCTGTCTCTGTATCTGTCTCTGTCTCTCCTATTTTGAACTCAGGGCCTCTTTTGTTAGGCTCACACCTGCCAATTTAACCATGTTTCTACTTTTCGAATCTTAGTTATTTTTCTGGTACTGTGCTGTGGTTTTGCCTGGGGCAGATTCCAGACAGTGATTTCACACTTGCCTCCTGTTTAGCTGAAATCACAGGAAACAGCTGCCACATGTAACTTATTGATGAGATGGATTCTCATTAAGGTTTTGCCCATTTGGCCTCCACAAATACTCATTTTAATCTCCTCCTCCCAGGTCTCTAGGATTACAGACACCAGTCACCATGCCAGGCGGTTTCCCTCTTGTTCACAGAACAAATTCCGACTCTGTGAATCCTGGGATCTTTGTCCTGAGTCTAGTGGGGTCACCAGGGTCCCTGAGTTTCTTCAGGATCAAATACTGGTCACCACTGCAGAGCCATTTTTGCTTCCACGGTGATACTCTGTTCACTCTTAACAATCTCAGCAAAGGACTGGAGACAGCACAGAGGAGTGCGGGTCATGAACTCAGGAGAGATGCTGTCACACTGTGGACACAGAGGCAGGGCAGACAGCAGGAGAGCAGCCCTGGGTTCTGTGTGCAGCTGCTCCTGAGCTGACCCAGCTCCAAGCTGTGCCGAGCGCCCCCTGCTGGTGCTGAGCGCCCTGCAGGGAGGTTTGTGTCTGGCCCACACTGGATTTCCTGCACTGTGTCTCTAGGACAGTAATAGATGGCCGTGTCCTCCACTCTCAGGCTGTTCATCTGCAGGTAAAGTGTGTTCTTGCTGTTGTCTCTGGAGGTGGTGAACCTGCCCTTCACAGAGTCTGGGTACCATGTGCTACCACCTGTGGTATTAATTCGTGCAACCCACTCCAGCCCCTTCCCTGGAGCTTGGCGGATCCAGCTCATCCAGTAATTACTGAAGGTGAATCCAGAGACTGCACAGGAGAGTCTCAGGGACCTCCCAGGCTGCACCAAGCCTCTCCCAGACTCCATCAGCTGCACCTCACACTGCACACCTGCAAACAGAGAGAATCCTGGTCAGCAATGGTCACACACATCCACTGTTCCTCCCACCCATGTCCATTTGCACACTCAGTATCCCTTGCTCCCCATGAATCACCTTTCAACAGAGCAACAAGGAGAACCCAGCGCAGCCCCAGCTCCATGGTGCTGGTCTGTGCTCAGTCACTGGTGGAATCAGCTCACAGAGCTCAGGTCAGGGCTGGGCTGGTTTTCATGGGCAGAGGGACGTCCGATTTGAATGTCCTCTGTTATAAAGCAGCTCTCGGGGGAAGTCTAGAGATTGGGCTCCCAGAGCAGAGGTGACTGTGCTGGAGGAGTTTGGTGACAATGGTCACCTTGGAGACATCATGAAGCACTGACCATGTGCTGTGGTTCACACTGTACCTGCAGCTCCTTGGGAGCCTGAGGCAGAGTGTGAGAACATTGAGAGCTGTCTGGGGTGCAGAGGGACACACATGTCCTCTCACTCTGCCATTGTGCCTGGTGATCGTTCTGTCAGCATTTCTGATCACACACAAAACACAAAGTACAACACGCCTGTGACCTCCTTGTGCACACGCAAGAGTGTATAACAATGGTGAATGTGTTTCCACACTGGCAGCGTCTCCCGTGGTATGAGCTCCATGCCTGGTCTGGGCCTGCACAGCTAAGGAGGGCCCACAGTCTCTGGTGTGTTCCAGGAGAATGGAGCTCATCTGTGAGCTCTGCAGAGCCTCCTTCCTGAGCCGAGATCAGGTGTGGCCTTGCCGCATCTTACTTCATTCTGACCACCAACCAGGATGGCCAGAGTTCAGGCAGAGGCTTGATAGTGGGCTCTGGTGTATCATTTGTTACAATCTATTTTTCTCATTCATATGTATTGTGTATTTGTGACGAAATCATGTCTATTGTGAACTTGTAATAACCTCAGTGAGTCACACTCATAACAAAACATAGGTAAATGAGTATTTGGTAACTATCAACAAGTGACTAGTGTCTTCTTCAAATTGTTTTATTAACCCTTTGATAGTTTCCTTGCATCAGTCTTTCGATTCATTGGTTACAGTGATTCCTAGTGCTGGACAAGATGGTGAGCTGAATGTGAGCAACACTCTTGTCCAACAACAAGAATCCACTGACACAAAGCTGAGCAGATGCTGAGGAAGAGAGGAAAGGAGCAGCGACAGGGAGTTCCTGGGGACCCAGGACATGGCAGAGAAGCAGTCAGGGGGGAGAAACTGTGGCACTGAGCTCTGACCTGTGTGCAGCTCTCCTGCTGGGAAGAGAGCTGAGCCGTCAGCAGGTACCATCAGGTGTGCTCACAGAGGGACTGCCAGCTCTGCTGTGGGACACACAGCTGAGGACCCGTTAACTAGCAAAAACCCTGAAATGAAGGAAACAAAAGAAAATCATCAACCCTTGTGTTGGGGGCATGGCTCACTTTTTAGGCGGTTAGTCAATGA